TATACTGCTCCTGATACCTAGAGAAGTAGAAAGAGAGAGAGGGAGGGAATTAAACATGCTTGGTATGTGTGATTATATGTCTCGTACTTTATAGCTTCTTTAAGCAGTGCTTTCTTCTTCTCTACACTGACCTGAGGGTCGTCCATACTCTACATAAGAACACTTTATACACAAGATAATCCCTCCTCTTCATCAAACCTCAACAAAAGCTTTAGACTGCATTGATACAGGACGTATGGTCTCAGTCCTTCCTTTATAATAAAGTCTGCAGACACACACACACACACACAATAACATGCACACATCAGTGAGGAGTGTGTGTGGGTAGTGGGTACCTTGTAGTGGCTGATTCATATGTTAGCACCAGTTTATGATAGATCCTGTAATAGGTTAACTGTAGAGCCATTTGGAACCAACCATCAGGACTAAGACGACACTTTTTAGGAACATCTTTACCATAGGCTGGACTAATTATATGTAAGTCAGAATCAGAGACCTACAAATTAAATTTGACAATAAAAATAAACAATTTTCAAAATATTGTAGCTCCGACTTACCATGTTTCTCAAATTCTCTTTTGCTTTGGCTAGTTCATCTTTCAAATCATCAACATTCCATTTCAACCTACAATGAAAGAATAAGGAAAGTTGCAGCATATATAGGTACATAAACAGGTGTACGTGAGTTATAAAAAATATAAGAGTTTAGAAGATAATAGCTAACTCTTTTGGTTGTAAATTCTTTGGGTAGTCCTCCAAATTAAACCCATGTTCGACAATATGACCTTCATCATCGTATTCTTCACGTTGCAGCATGTACTCCCAAGTTTGTGAGCATATCTGAAAATAAAAACATTAAAACGAATGAACTAAACACACATAAAAGCATCATCATCATGATTATTATTCCCAAAATTCCTTAACAGTTGACATAAAACTGACAATAACAATAACAATGTAGTAAAAGGTCAGACATTATCGTAAAACTGAACACAAACATTTCGTGTCATTTCCTGATTTATAAAGGTGATCATAAACCACTTACTGTAGCATCAAGGTGAGAGTGTTCAGCATTAGAAGCAGTGAGTCCATTAGGATAAACTGGTACACAGACACTTTTATCAAACCACCTGTTGTACAAGTTCCCATGGAATATGTCCCTACCTCTAGCAGTCAGATCCTAAGTACAGAATAACTCCATGAAAATATTGCAGTACTTCTACATCATTCTTTATATTATAATTCTATAGTGTCTTCTGATCTCTCACTTCAACAGGAGGAGATTCTGTTTCAAGAGATACAAAGTTGAATCCAGTACTAATTGCATCCAGTGTCTCTTTATTGGTTGGATCCTTTATTAGCCTTTCTCTTATCTCGGCCCATTCCTCTCTTGGTAATGCAGTGAATGCTGCAACACCAGTTTCATCATCCTCATCTACATAAACAAATAATGTGTGCCACCCTCTCTCTCTCTGCTACATCTCTCTTCACTTACCACCAGCCATTTCCATTACTCTCTCTAGCTGCTTCTTTAGCAAGCTAGGAGGAAAGATACGATTGTCTTTAGTCAGCACTTGAATGCTGTACATCTTCCCTCGTCTAGAGAAAGAGAGAGGGAGAGAGAGAGAGAGGGAGGGAGAGAGAGAGAGAAAGAGAGATTCATTACTACAGAAACAATGATATTATGTCAACAGAAGACACAAAACATTACTTATGAATTATAAACATAAACAAAATCATAGACAATAATAATTAAAGGTCAAGGTCATAGCATACCCTCAAGCAGAAGAGTGCTAAGCAGATACAATTAATGCTTTGTATAAGGAGGTACATCTACTTAAAGCATGTGTCTAGCACATCTCTGCTTGTCTGTCATGCAATTTAAAGGATAAAAAGAGTATCTTAATGTATTGCAAGAAATAAATTCCATACAATCTTTAATATCATTACCTTATCACGACACTATGTGTCACAGTCTTGAAATCGGCGAATTCAAAAGTGTCAACTTCTCGTCCTGGGATCCTGCAAGAGGCACAGTTGAACTTCATTGAATGCATGCAAAATGGAACAAGGTTCAAAGCCATCATGTTTGGTATTCTACCAGCATCATATTCTGTAGCAAACCTAAAGAATATAGAAAAAAAGAAGTGGGAGAGAAAGAGAGAGAGAGAGAGGGTGAAGAGATACATTGTGGTAACAATGTTTAGTATCTTTACTTTGTTCCAAGATGAATGAGCATTGCTGCCCTGTCCAGCTGGTGTGGGGTTGTTGGCCTTCTTGTGCCGAGAGAGAAATAATTAGAATTGACTAAAAGTATGAGAGGATGAAGCCATTGCTTGTGATTAATGTAATAATGGGATCACTTACAAGGTATTGGCGTTCTTTGTCTTAAGTAAATGTACTCGTCCCACCAGTCACTTATCCAGTTTCTGTTGGTCCAAGATCTAAATAATAAATAATAATAATAATAATCCACTATTAGCTAAGTTGATGCATTGTAGGTTATTTTGTAGCAGTGTCAATGAGCAATGGCAGGTATTTATTGGCGGTTTTTGGAGTCCTGAAACAGCTGCTATACTGTATACATTGTACATGCAGGAATTTCATAGGCATACACGCAGAGTTCTTTCCACTAACTTTATCGTAAGATATTTCTGTAAGGTCTTTCCCTCTTTCTTTTGAAAATCATTCACAATCTGTCAATAAGAATATAATTATTCATAATGATCATATTCATTCCATCTCTTCATTGTGTACATAACAATGAAGAGATGATGGTTGACCTGTTCTGTTCTCTTGTACTCTTCATCAGAGAGGATTGGCTTTACACTCCTCAAGTACCTGCATAACCACAATGAATAGCTAAGGTAACGTAATAGTATTGAATGACATTGACCCCAACTCTAATCACCCTCTGAAAATGATGTTTTAGCAGCAGGAAAGAAGCATTTCATCGCTATGCAAGGTATGCACAGAGTAATGGGGAGGGCTTGCAAATGAACAATAAAGCTACAACTTGGTTGTATTTAGCTCACTTTTGGCATGTTTTCTTTAATGAGGGGACAGGGAGAGAAGGAAGGAAGATCTGATAGTATCCACTGCCTCGATTTTTCTTTCCAAGAAGTACAACAATCATAAAATACCATATCTTTCAAATTTTATACGAAAATGCACCACTGACAAGCATTTTATGAAACTGACCTTGTTGAGAGGATTCTTTGGATTCAGAAACCACCCGTTGTACTGGAGGAGACCACGGACTACATAAATGCGAAGACAAGACCAAAGGAGAACAGCAAGGCCACAAGCAAAGAGCCCTACAAGCAGGACGGCCGGGCCGAGCAACAAGCTAGCGGCTTCAAAAGGATTCACAAGAAACTCGCCAAATACTCCATCAACTGATGCATAGAGAGTGAAGAGACAGCTTAACAGCAACACTCCTAGTGCAGCACAAAAGAAAACTCGCCTTCTGTCCTGAAGGACGAGATCTACAGCACTTCTGATTGGGACCATCTTTGTTTTGCAAATTAGTTTAGCTTCCGGAAATGGGCGTGGCTGATAAAAGTATTTATAATATCAACTATAAAAGTCATTAGCTCGGTCATTAGTCTTCTTAATCTTCTGTTTTCTTTTGCTTTTAAAATAACAATGCAAATTAAAATATTTTGAAACTGAAAGTAACTCACAATTTTGAGTAAATCAACTAGCTTGTGAATATCTTCACCAGTTGCTAAGTCAACAGCATCCTTTGAAATATAAAACACAAAAAAATTAAAAAAACATTTGAAATTATTCTTTCACAACTTTTGGAAGTCTTGAGGCTACAGACTGTGAGGGCTGGATCCCAGAGGAGGGGTCAACCAGTCTTAGTTCAGGTAGGACAGGAGCTACTCTATTGAGCTCATCCCAAGAAAATAGCAAAGGATTGGTCACTGCTTTATCAAAAGGATTGAAGTCAAGCAAAAGAACAGAACCCTGGAATGCCACAAAGAGATTTAACAGGAATGATTTAAAGTCTACATATTACACTCACTTTGCATGGCCTGTACACATCCATCACAACTAAATAATAAGAATTAATACAACATTATGAAACACATTACCCCTCCTCTATTCACAGAATACCCCCTCATGCAACCATGAACATGAACATCTGCATTTTGTTGATGGAGTAAATACACTTACAATTACGAAGAGGAAATTTATTTGAAATATGATTGTCCTCAAAGAAGCAGCTGATGTCAGTCATGATAGACTCAATGCTGTCCAGCAAATGTTTGTAGCAATTTGAAATCTGTCTTTGACTAACTCCTATTGGATCAGTATAAAATCAAACAGAATCATATCAGCACGCCCTTCAATGCACAATCATCTCAAATCATCTCAATGTTAAATCAAATCACCATGATACCTATTAGTCTCTTGTCTTTTATGAAGCAACGAAATTCTCCCGAAGGATGAACATTGATCCATTTCCTCAAACAAAGCTACACAGAATATCATAATATTATAATGAATGTGTAGTAAATAATGTACTACATATCCATTTGTCAGCCAGCAAAAGCTACTACTATACAACTCACTGTGAAAGCTGAATCCTGTCCACTTTTATCTCTAAAAATAAGATGGTTAACGGTCAAAAATTGACAAGCCTTGGGCCAGTGTGATCACATAAATTATACATGTGCAAATATTTTGATAATAATGAGATGCATTGTGCTGTAATAATCATGGTATAACCTCACATTAGTGATGCAATAGTGTCTGATATGATGTCAGAGCTCTTTAATAAGAGAACCACTTCAGCAGGAACTGTGCATCTTAATGTGTTGTCACAATTTATCCAAGCAGCATCCTTTAAAAAAGAGAGAGAGGGAGAGAGAAGGATAATATTCTAATTACTTTTGGGGAAGACCAGTTTAGTTTTGGAAAGACAGATCCACCAAGTTCTTGTATGCTCTCAAAAATTGTCTTCACTAACTGAGGGAAAGATGGCCTCTATATAAAAACATAGGGGAACATAATGAAGCAATAGATTTAATGCATCATACCATAGCATCACTACTACCTTCATCATCCCAATCTGAGCCATCCTATTATAAAAATAAATAAAAATAAAAATAATAATGATAATAATAATAATAATAATAGTCAAATAGGGTACCTCATCACTGTTACTGTCACACCTCCCTTCAGTAGCATGAGCAGGTAACTCACAGCTATAATAAGTATCATTGTTATGTGAGGGTAATGGATACTCTTACCCTTTGGGTAATACAATACCATCTGATTGCAAGTACTGGATGAAGTCCATTGATAAATGGATCAGCTTACTATGAAATAATATACAATATCCTTATGTTATATATATGATTATCACTAAAATTTTTGAGTTATGGCCATTTCAAAAAACAAACCAATTTTTAAAAAATTCCCTGTACTATAGCCCATGGTTTTTTCAAAAAAATGGATACAAAATCACCCCCAAATTTTATTACATTTTCTGATACATATTGATGTCCTTATGCTGAATTTTGAAAAATACCCAAGGCTATAGTCCATGGTTTTTTCCAAAAAATGGCTCAAAAATCACCCCAAATTTTTATTACATTTTCTGATATATATTGATGCCCTTATGCTGTGTAGAAAGTTTGAGCTAATTCCGACTTCAATTTTTAAAGTTACGGCCATTTTAAGAAAATGCCAAAATTTTGAAAAATACCCAAGGCTATAGTCCATGGTTTTTTCCAAAAAATGGCTCAAAAATCACCCCAAATTTTTATTACATTTTCTGATACATATTGATGTCCTTATGCTGTGTAGAAAGTTTGAGCTGATTCCGACTTCAATTTTTCGAGTTACGGCCATTTTAAGAAAATGCCAAAATTTTGAAAAATACCCAAGGCTATAGTCCATGGTTTTTTCCAAAAAATGGCTCAAAAATCACCCCAAATTTTTATTACATTTTCTGATACATATTGATGTCTTTATGCTGTATGGAAAGTTTGAGCTGATTCCGACTTCAATTTTTCGAGTTACGGCCATTTTAAGAAAATGCCAAAAATCTGAAAAATACCCAAGGCTATAGTCCATGGTTTTTTCTAAATTTTCTCACGTTTCTATAGTAACTTCCTTAAATTTAGAGTACCAAGATGGAAGAGAACATACATCAGTGGATACCTGCAGAAATCAATATAGAATATAATCTTAAACCAGTTTAATACCTTTGACTCTTCCTCCATTTTGTCCATGTGGTAGCACGTGGTTTCCGTACTTGTCAGTATAACTCCGGATTTCAAAGAGGTCAAAATGGCCGACGAAGGAATGGAAGCTTACTTCGAGGTATTATCTCTCCTCCTGGTTGCATTTATGCTCCTTTCTCTTGCACATTAGACCTCTTCTAATGCTGAAGCTCTCAGACGAGCAGGAGCTGGAGAAGATCACATAGTAACGGCCCAAGAAATGAAAAACTCTTCACTTACTGAGTTAACCCACTCTTCTCCACACCTTTTCTCCCATCCACCAATGAAATCTAATGCAACTAGCACTCCATTAAATAAACAAGAAGTAAAGTATCAAGAATATACTCTGCATATCTGAGATATATTTCTTTCAGGCGGTCCATATTAGAATACTTGTTGAAGAAATAATGAAGTCAGCTCTTTTAACTGAAGATGATTGTGTCCTGCTGGAATCAGTACTGAAGATTGAAGGAATGAGTGATCCTACTGAGAAAAGAATTAATTAGTAAGGAAATGGCTGAAGGTTACTAATTTAATGAACATCAAATTATAATGGTAAATGTATTTTATTTTTTAATTTTCTCTAGTTTGTTTAATAACTGGTGGTATATTTACATCTCTTCGCTTGTAATGGTGTTATCTATGTTCTTTTCTTATTCCGCTTGTCTCCTCGTGTTTATCTTCACGGTAACAGGATTTACTTTATTTAAAGTAGGTCACATGATTATCACATGATTATATGTCACATGACTAGGCGAGAGAGACTAGGAGTGAGGGTAGGATGAGGAAGGAGAGAGAAGGAATAAAGAATTACCTGATAAAAATGGAGTCACTGCTCAATTTAATAATGAAATCACTGAATACAATTAGAGAGAGAGAGCTGGTGTATCACGGATTCCTGAGGTTAGAAAAATAATTAAAAATAAATTTAAATGTGAATTGTAAATTTTAATCTCACCTGTACATGTACACATACGTACATTTAGACCAGTGAGAGGTTTATCGGCAAGCCACATTGAGTCACAGCTGGCTAATGGCAACAGCAACAGCTTCCAGTGTCACTCATTGAGAGAGAGGCTTCACCAGGTGTGCAGCAAAGGGAAGGAGATGATGGGTAGTGTCACTGTTAGTCTCATTAATGGATACCCATTGAACACTGAACTGGACAATAAAGACACTTATCTGTTGTACAGGGAGTTACCGGCCGTACAAGATGAACATGTACTGTCGCTAGAGGCTCTGAAAGTGAGTTATAGAGGAGGAGAAATTAACAGTTACAATCAATTGTAAGATGAGTAATGATGATGATTACACTTTTAGGATGCTGCTAGCCTCATGGCTATAGTCAATTCTGAAATGTTGCGTCGATTGTGTTTAGTTTTAGGACGTCATTTGATCACTGAGCAATCTGTCCTTGATAAAAGTAAGTAAATCATTTTGTCATATAGTAACTTGTCTTTATACCTCTCTCTCCTCTTCCGTTAGCTGATAAAAGACTCTCTCTTTCAACTGCTTTTCAATTTCTTAAACCTCTTTATGAACATGTGGATGAAGCGTTGACTCAAATCCAATGGTCACTGGATTATCAGAATCACAAATACACAACTAAAGGTTACACAAAAATTAGAAAAAATTGCTATTATTATTATTATTATTATTATTATTATTATTATTATTATTATTATTATTTGTAGATGGTTCTACTGACAATAGCCCAGCTACTAATGGCAGCAAGAAGGCGGGGTTTAAAGGGGCAGGAGACAAACCTTTGTCATCAATTGAGGCGGAACTACATGCAGCTGACCTCCACGTACACACTACACTGATCAAGTAAATGAAATACATTATAAATATGTTTTAAAGTATATTCTATTTAATTAATTCACTTATATCACTGTACAGACTGCGTGAACTGAGTGATGACAGCTCAGGGGAAGTTTGGGAAGAAGGTACATTTGCACTTTAAGCAATGACATGTAACTTGTTCTCTGTAGAAATAAGATCAATTTTGAGTAACATAACCTCAGCTGAGCATCACCTCCAACAAGTTCTGAGTGAATTGTCTCAACCAGCCCCTCCTCCTTCTCCTCCCCTTGCCACATCAACACCAAGTAAGTGTAACAAGTGTAAGTTGTGACTGTTTTGTGTAGATTTTGTCAACATTGAAGATAATAATGAAGAAACTGAAGTACCATGCAATACACAAGAGACAGCAAATGATGATGATGAAGAGATGGTAAGATAATGACAGCTGCTCCTCATTTCAAATATAATGTTAGATATATGAAGCGTATGTGAGTGGTTTAGATCAGATCTCACAGTTGGAGGAGCAGGAGATAGTCAGCAATGAAGTAATGGAGGCTCTTCTTTTCATTAGCTATTATTCTATTTTACACACATGGACTGTATTAGGAATGGAGGAAAACCTCACTGAATATACTCCATGAGTTAAAGTCAGTTCTTTCTGTTAGAAAGGCCATGAAAGAAAAGAAGAGAAGGAAGAAGGATGCTGTAGAAGAAACCCCTTTACCAAAAGAGAATGCCCAGGATCAAAGTGACAGTGTAGAACATAATAACACTCAAACAAATAATTCAAATGAAGCTGGCAGTAGCAGCAGCTGTCTGCAAAATTCTCCAGAAAAGTCAAAAGATATTCACAGTGATGATGAAGGAAGGATTGCTACTGGAGCTGTGGTGGATGGATCTGGTGATCAACTCCTGCAGCTGCAGCTAATGGCAAGAGCAGCTGCTGCTTCAAAGAGAAGACAACAAAATGAAGAAATATTTGAATTGAGTGACAATGATGATGAAAATGACTAGGATTCAAGAAGTAAACTTTTTTGATTATTAATTTTTAAATCACTGCAAATCTTATCACTAAATCAGACTCTTAAATTATGTAAACTACTCTTCGTTAATCAAATGGTATCATAAAATTATCAATAACAAATCGCAGCACAAAACTATAACTAAGAGGCCAGTACATTGCATGGCGCAATAGTTCAGTTAATGGCAGCTGCAACCAGTTCACAAGTGTTGAGGTCTTTACTACGAACTGTCATCTTCATAGTGACCTGTCCTGTCTGAGCTAGTCTTGCTCTTACAAGAACCTCATGGCCTCCTCTAAAGACACCAGCCAGCAACAAGGTATGGGAGGTCCTATTGTGATCAACTTGGTCTGATCTCTCACACGACTGCATGCCAAGGAAACCAGTGATCTGCTTGACAGCATCTGAGGAAGACAAGTAGATTTGTGATATAGTATACATGTACAATAAATGCTGCAATAGTCTTAAGTCATTTTATTGCAGCAAATATTTCATCTAATAGTTTTATGATTAATGCTCTAGTTTCATTGCAAATTTGCAATACCTGAAATGTCCTTCATGCTGCTCAAGGCGTACGTCCCTTCGGTTTGATTCTCTTCTCCGATCTCCTCCCAAGAGGCAGCAAAGTTTGGCTTCACAATTCGCTGCATGTGATCAGACAAGAGAATATCAACATTCTCCAACTGAAGGGGAAAAGGAAAAGAAAGAGGGGAAGGAAAAAAGAGGGTGATCAATCTAAAAACAGAAACCCAATGACTATCAAATATTGCAGTATTAGTACTATATCTATTATTTCCACCAGTGGGTAGAGCAATGCACAGCTAATGGATCAGCATTAGCTCTTAAGTCACCACTTTATTGAGTAGAAGAGAGATAAAACCCTCTTTCTATAGCGAGGGTACAAATTGAAACTTGTCAACTTAAAATAATAACAAGCACAGAGTGTTGCCTCGCAGTATACTAGAGTGCACTAGAGTATACTAGAGTGTACAAGGTGACGTACCACATATTCATCATCGTATCCCTGATCATCATCAGGCTCCCCCGTGTTTGGGTCACAGTCTTTAACAATAAACTTTAACGTATTCAGGAATGTACCAGAAACTAGAACAAACACAGTATAAATTCTAAACATACACTCCTATTCAATGCCCACCAATGGTATTATCTTCAATCCCTACTAGTGTATATGCTGTCTTTGGTTGTCCGTAAGGTAAGGAAGCTATTGGTATGTAAGAGATGATGGAGAAACCTTCGGTCTCCTCCATTTCAACACGGACATTCTCCAGCAGCTGATCATTGAGCGTATTAGTGACATCAAACTGGAAATAAAAGAAAATGACATGTAAAGGATACTGTATGACACTAGTACGTGTACATGAGTGGGTGCGTTCCTTACCTGAAACACAAGGTGATTGAGGTAAGTGTGTTTGACACACCTCACCACATACTCGGTCTCAGACTCCGTTAGTTCAACGGGAGAGTCCGATGATTTGAACAATGGACCAAGCTTTGAAAACTGTGGTATGGCAGACAATTGCTCTGAGAGAAGAGAGAGAGAGAGAGAGGGAAGAGGAGGAAGATGTACATACAATGTACAGTTAATGAAAGGGCTAGGTTCTTACCAACAAAGATGTCGTGTTTAGAAGCAACAGGGGCGGACTTAATAACTGAACCACCTGTAGTAACCTCACCAATAGCTATTAATTAATAATAATAATAATAATAATAATAACAATAATAATAATAATAATAATATTAATAATAATTATACATGTAAGTTAATTACTACATTGTATTGTACGTACATTTTGGTGTTTCATTGTAAGGTGTTGTCTCAATAGGGACAGTCTTGATATCAAAAGGATCATCATTAGGCTGACTGCAATAAGCTAGTAATGCTCTCTCTAGGCCAACCACTGACACACTTATAGCTGTAGGAGAGAGAGAGAGAAGAAGGAATAAATCAAACAACAACCAAGTCTAAAATAATGTACTGTGTTCATTACATGTCCCTGTCGTCCGACCCAAATCAATAATTTATTGAATATTAATTTGGCGAGTGGAGATGGGTTGATATAGCGGGCATTAATTAGAACAGAGAGCTTGTTCACTTAATTAGAAACAAGTCTGGAGGCAACCCGCAATTAACTACATCTCTCTCCTCTCTCAATTTCTTACGATTGAGTATAAAAGCTGACGAAAGTGACTTCTGCTTTTGTTTAAGTACCTCCATGTAAAGCAGAGCACGATCACGGACCTCGTCATCGTTGTCAAGGAGACACCTGTGGATGAAAGTAGGCATGTCAAGTAGGAGGGGCCAAAAAAGGACTGACCTTTCCAAAAGGACAAGGATACTTTCAAGCAAATCTTCACAGGAGGCGCCAAACTTTGCTAGTGACGTCACAGCAGCTGAAAGAACAGGAATATTAATTATTTGTATTTTAAAGTATATGTATATACATTACATGTCCCTGTCGTCCGACCCAAATTAATAATTTATTAAATATTAATTTGGCGAGTGGAGATGGGTTGATATAGCGGGCATTAATTAGAACAAAGACCTTGTTCACTTAATTAGAAACAAGTCTGGAGGCAACCCGCAATTAACCACACCTTCAAAAACTCACCAGCTCTAACAGTCGCAGCCTCGAGCAAGACTCTATTGTAAATGAACCTAATGTACTTGTAAGGTTTCTGGGTCCGAGGCCCCTCCCTCCCCAAGAGGTGGAGTATTCGAGTGGCCAGTTCAATGTGTTCACAGTCTTCAATAAACTCACAAAGATGGGACAATCCTATAGTCATGTGCAGAGAGAGAAGATGCATACAATATTGGACATGATGTTGATTTGACAAAGATTCTTACCGACATCTTTGATTTCAGAGTTCTCTTCAATGATGGCTATGATGGTGTTCACAATGGCCTTCTTGTAGTCAAAGCCGCCCTGAGGAAAAGAGGAGGAGAAGGAAAAGATGTCAAACAATCTATAAAAATCAGCACAGAAACTATTTATAAATGGAGATTTCTCTCCTTTTCATTTATGGCAAAATGTGGCCAAAAGTCCATGCAGTATAATAAATGGTACATTCTGAGGAGGTTGTCCCATTATGTCATAAAGTTATTACTGACCTCTTCCCTGAGCATGTTGGCAAGGAACGTCATCAAAATGTGATGCTTCCGTGGGAACTTTATACAAACAGAACGAATGGCCTCGACAACGACAGTCTTGAACTCATCTGATATCTCAGACATGAAACTAGTGATCTGTTTCATGAGACGATCAACACTAGCTTCATTCCCAGTCTGCAGAATGGAAACATGAGAATGAAGAGTAGAAAGGAGTATATGATATATTGACTGACCTTGAGCAATGTTGTGATGGCAAGTGTAGCTATGCTCCTGTTAGTATCGGATATCAAGTTCTCTAGATCAATATTGCAAGAGGTAACAACGTCAGGGTGAATCATGGCAATCTAGTGAGGGACAGAAAAATAAATAAATAAATATTTATAAATCCTCTTCTTCTTACTCTGTTAAGTGTCTTTACAGCAGCAAAACGAGTCACAGCTTTAGGTGAACTCAAAAACATTTGCAACACTGAGAGAAGAAAAATGAATTAATAATAAAAATTTAAGAATTAAACTAACCTGAGACTGCTGGTTGGAGCTCCCTAGCGGTGATGTTACTCAAGTTAACCATAGCCCGAGCTGCCTCATACACAACCATCTAACAATATAGTGAGTCATGTGATAGTCATGTGACCAATGGCTTACATCATTCTTATGACGGAGACAAGACTCAAGGAAGTCATACAGCATATTGTTACTGCTCCTCTCCTCCCTCTCCAGCACCTTACAAGCAATCCTTATCTACAAGTATAAAACAACATCAAGTTAACACAGTGTTAACATCAAGTTAACATCCAAGTTTAATGCAATGTTAACATCAAGCTAACGCAGTGTTAGCATCAATTTGGCATTAAAACAGTAACAAAATTGACGCAGTCTCTACTTACCAGTAAACAGTAACCAAAAGGTGATCTCAATCCAGAACGAGACAATTTCGTGACCATCTTAGTCACGGCTAGTCTATCATGTTTACGAATGTGATACAACAGGCCAATGGCGTGATACTAGTGGTGGGTGGAGTTAGGATGATTGACCACACCCACGTACCTGAACCATGAGGTGATCTGAAGTGCTGGCCTCCTGAGCCTCGTTGACCCATCGCTTCACAATCTCAACAGCACCTCGCTGAAATATGTGCTAGAGGGGGACAATTAATATACATGTACAGTACTTAGTATAAACAAAATACACAAAACTTCTCCCACATACATGTAGGCCATCAAAAAGAAAGACATTGAACTCACTAGGGCAGAGACTAATGCGGCACTTGAGACACTAGGATTGCGATCAACAATAGCTTGCTTCATGTAGCGCTCAATAGCTTGTACCATCGTATTCTAAAGAAAAGAGAAAATACATCATTTTAAAACCTAACCTTACGTCAGTGATGACACACAAGGCTCTTATGGCACTCCCCCTGTACTGATCCTCTTTTCCAGTCATGTCCTTTGTCAAACTATAACAATCATTAATAACTAGCCACGCTTATGACACGCCTACCTGCTGGTGACAATGATGACGTCGTTGGCAATTTTTGCCATTTCTTTGACGGAGACATAGACAAGCCTTCGGAGGGTAATGTCTTTGGACTGCCAGAGCTTCGTGATGGCAAAAAATGTCTGAGTAGCTTCAGCTGGAGTTAGTGTCACACCCTGAAAGAAAGGAAGAGAAAAACCGACAAAAAAATTTTGAAATTCTAAAAAAAATTTGAGCTTTTTTCATCACCTGGTTCATAAGATAAAGGATCTTTGTGAGGATTAGCGTACACTTTTTGTTATTTAAGACATTGTCATTGAAGGCTCTGGCCTAGAGAGAGATCACGTGATCCAGGTATATTATAATTCCGCCTAACCTCTTGAAGGACCGTGCTCTTTTCTAGGTTTTGGAAGGGGCCACTTTTACCACCTGTAAAACAGTTTGAAAATGATTAAATGGGACACTTATTGTACCCTCTTCATCGTCTTTCTTGTATCCACGAATCACGTTCATGGCCTTTGTTCAAAGAAAGGGCACGTTGCAGATCCGTATACCTCCGCTCGCTGATCCGTTTATTCCCGTATAATCCCTGAAACAAGATGGTGGTCTGCACCAAGCTAGTTCAATGGCTGGCTATTGCAGCCTTCTTTATGGAGCTATGGTATGGACTGGTCGTGGGCTGGTTTCCTATAAATATTAGCCCGCAATTATACCAAGTACTTCTCCCTGTAAGGCTTATATCATTTTTAATTAATTTTTAAAGTTTAATTATTTTTAATAGATGCCACTTTATGCCATCATGTTACTAGGGGTAAGTTATTATTGTTATTCTATTTAAAGAGCACTCACATACATGTAGTGTTACTCGTTAATCGCCGTTGGTTACCAGCTCATGACATTCAGCGATTGCCCTGAAGCAGCTGACGAAATCAAGCAAGAAATTCAAATGGCCAAAAGGGACTTGGCATCAAAAGGATTTAAATTTTAAAACAACATTGAGAACCCATCATTATCTATCTCTCACTCGGACTTTCTACTTTATTTATAAAATTTAAATTGTTTTAAGCTAATTTAAAAACATATGCCTTTAAATACTGTACATTTACATCATGTCATTATAATTAATGATTATGATTAAAATTATTTCAAATCACACACACAATCGATCAGTCACACACACTCAGAGGGTTCACTGATTCTCTGATAGTACAACCTATCAGTTGTATTAAGTTCTCTCATCACTGCTATGAGGAACCATCAAATAGGCCGGGGAAGGTTTCTAAGAGTTTCTTGATGGCTCCCTGATCTGGGATACTCTCCTCTCCCTCTTCTCTCAGTATCCTTTTAAGACAGGAGGTTAAATCGGAGCGCCTGTGATGATGATCAGTGTATTGCGTGTTAGTTATTAGTCGCTGAAGCAACTCAATGTAATGGGATCTAGACTGAAAGGAGAGAGAGAGAGAGGAGGAGGAGAAAGGATTTAAAACATTAGGAGAGAGACACTATAAAGGCAATGAAGTTACTTTATCTCCAGGTGCAAGGTCGTGGAGCTGCCTTGAAATGATATCAATGAGGACCTTGAGGTCTGTTGTATAGAACACACCAGACGTCAGTGGATCTGAAAATAGATCCAGCAGTATTTTAGTTAATGAATCAGGACAGCAAGGCTTCACTATGGAGACTGGATCCTCTATAATAAAGTAAAGGACATGCAATATTTTGATATTTTAATGATAGTCTCTCACCTCCTCTGTTGACAAGAAGCATAAGCTTCTCACTGAATGATCTTGGATTATCAAACACCTTCAGCACCTGCATAACAATGTTAGTCGAGGGATCTTGAAGAGAGAGAGAGAGAGAGAGAAAGCAGAAGATTGTAAATAGAATAATAGTCCAAACCAAAATAACTTAATAATATTTTTTTTCTTTTTTAAGAGTTGAATTCTTACATTCAAAGTGTTGATTGAAGCTAAGGATCATGTTAAGGAAAGCATCAGGTAACTCATCATTGACATCAGACTCTGGAGGGTCTTCTATATTGTCCAGGAGAAACTTGACAAACTCTGCACTCCATTGATCTAGCAAGACAAAGGAAATGAAACTATTATTGTAAAATCAGAAGAATGATGCTGTATGGCTGTAGTATACATGTACAATGTATGCTTTGTTATAGTTACCATATACTGGTAGAGGAACATCCTCAGCTGTTGAAAACATCATTGTACAAACTATACTGGAGAATAAAACCTTCTGTGTCTCTAGAATAAGAAAAAAAATAATTGCATGTACAAGCGGTCAACAAATATTCCATCAAAGTTTTAGACCATTAAACCTTCTTGGAACTAAACTTTTAGGCTCCACAGTTACCAGCTGCACAGTATAACTTACCATTGGTGTTAATTTGAATATCATGTCCTAGTTCATTGGGCAGTACTGATTGAAGCATTACACTCACAACCTCCTGATCTAGTGTACAACAGGCACCAAACACTTTCAATAACAGTATCCTTAACTGTACTCTTGGCTCTAACTGATAGTAACTTATTAATACTAGAATGTTCTCATATTTATCTTCTTGTATAGCAGCCTTTGATACAATAGGATCAGCATCATACTAAATAGAAAATTAAATAAATAAATAATCATGATGATACCTGTACAGTACATGTACATACTAATATTTGCAGAAGTTCTTCAAGATATTGACTGATGATTTCACTGTCATCACGGACGGCCCACCCTCTCTGTTGACTATCATCTCTAGCTTCTCTCATTTCAAAGAAAATATGTTTCAACCTCTTCAGATCTTCATTATCCTCAGAGAGACTGTTATCCTCCTCTTTTGCCTGTTTTAAAAGTAATTATAGTAACTCCCCCTCCCCCCTCTCTCTCTTTCTTCTTACTTGAGATGCACGAAGAGATGCCAGTAATCCGTCCATCACAGGCGCAATCTCAGGAACCTTTTCCTCTAAAAATCCCAGAACCCCTTCAAGGGCAAGGGCAGATTTTGGATGACTCAGACCCGTTCTAATTTAAAACAAGAAATAAATTTAATGTGCAATCAACTTTAAAATACTATAATAATCATTATTAGTACTCTAGGGTTTATACATGAAGCAAATAGCAGGAACTATTAATGAAACTTGAAATTAATTTTGAACTTGCCGTTACTATACAGTAAATTACTGATTAATTAAAGCATTTAGTGTGCAGTAATAAAATCTATTTATATATAATTTGCTACAATTTAATAATAATAATTCTCCAATCTCTCATACATACACAGTACCTGTTCCTAATAACATCAATTAGTTCCAGTGCAGTATCATTTGAGAACTCAGTTGGAAGGTTGAGCTTCTTACCAAACCCCTCGCTCTCCGAGAGGGTTTCTAACTGATTCCCAGGCTGACCCACGCGATTGAGATAAGAGGTAAGTCTTTGCTTAGTCTTTGGGCTAATGCCACCAACAGGTAATGTGGCCCCGTCACTCGACTGGCTGGAATTATCGTCACATTCAACCGACTGCTCACGACTATCTCTGAGTTCTTCCTTCTGAGCTGCCATATCTATTACCATGACTCCTCCTTCCTTCTTCCCCTCCTCCTCTTTCTTTTCAGACTCTTTAACGATGTGAGAAGGTGATGGTGTGTGTTTGCTAAGCGATACAGTCCTGGTAGGAGGGGGAGGGGCCGGCCGACTGACGTTAATTATTAACTCACTCTGTGGTCTGTTTGCTCCAGCTCCTCCTTCCTTCTCTCTCAGTTGGACCCCGGCGAGATCAAGTGGTTCGACGGTTGGCTGTGGAGGGGGCGGGGCTTTACGACGATGTTTGTTTTTATGGGATGGAGATGGGGACGAACTCATTTCTCTGGGAACAGGAGATGAGGTGGTTTCCATGGGGATGGGCGAGGGACTGGAGAAAGTGGACACACTTGCTTCCATGGTGTTGGGAGATTTGGTACGCTCCTTTGATTCAGAACTATTGACCACGGACTGTCTATGAGCGACCAGAGTCCTAATAAGGAAAGAAGTACAGGTATCAGATAAAATAATGAAAATTAACAAGGCAGTGTTTATCTCAATGGAAAATAAACGAATAGCCTGTATTGAAAATACAGGCTACACTAATGACAGCTAGCCTTCATGTACAGGTTGTACTGTATACATTTCTTGTTAATCCTACATGTACTGTACACGTAAATGAACTGTTTGTTTTCATTTTCTTTCTGTTCTGCCTCTTTCTGATACATATACATGTACTTATGTTGAGTAGAAAGTTTGAACTGATTCCAATAAAAATTAGATTTTATACAAAAATTTTAAAGTAGGGCCAAAGTACATGTACATGTATATTCCTCACTGTAAAGTTGATCTTTGTTCTGCTGTGTAAAATCCTCCAGCAGTAGTAGCATCAACATGTATCTTATCAATGGCACGATCTATTGACAAGAGAACATCTTTAATGGCCTGAATAAGAAGAATAGCAATGACCAATAAAATACTGACACTGAACATTGAATAAGTACTATTGGTTGAATGGATGCTTTAAAAGCAATGTAAATATTATCATGAACATGTGCATGTATGCATACAAATAAATGTAAATAAACTGCAAGCCTCACATTATTTATATCATTACTTACTTCTGCTGATTGTGGTTCTACCCCGTTATTGTTGGTCGTCTCTTCTTGCTTGACATAAGAGGCAGGCACCATACCTTCTCTACCAGTTGACATGTTCTTCATTGTATACCAGTCCTTAGTGTGCACTTGCCTCAATATCAACTATAAATACAAATACACAATGCATTAGGGTCACTGTGTCCATGTACATATGTATTTATGATGTGTAGTGGTAACTGCAAGTTCCTTCATGTTTGTATGAAAACAATGTATGCTTTGTACATACCGAAACAAGGAAGGAGAACACATAACAGAATGGACAATGTGAAGTACATACCAGTGACAGGTAGTTAGCTCCTGTCATGTTTACATCAAACTGTACATGTACTTGCTTCTTCTCTCATTTATATGTTTATTTGCTTTGTTTGTGTAATAAGTTAGTGTATGCTTAAGACATGTCACAGACTGGATAGGTTCCTGTGATGTCTTCATCAATGCATTAGTATAAGCTCTCTCCCTCCTCCTCTCTCTCTCTCTCTTTTGCTCTCTCTCTCTATTCTTATTAACCTTGTCATTTTTCTTGATGTCTATCTGATAGGCTGCCTGTCCCACATAATCAAACATTGCAATAAACACACTGCCTTTAGAATGGGTACTCTTCTCCTAAACAACACAACAGGAATGTAGCCACGAATACATTGGGGTGCTTACTTCAGGTAGTATGGCCTCAAGGTAGGAAGCAGGAACAAGACCACTAGTGGATCCTTTTTGAACAGTGGACCAGTTATTCCCTGAGCTTGTAACTGTGACTAGCTCTCCTGCCTTCACTTTTAGCATTTTTTTCTCCTCACCGGCAAAATCGTACAATACCTTGTGAGTTGCCATGTCTCCTCTCTGTTATATTCTAGCAGCTTTCTTTAAACTGCAAACAGAAATAGAAGAAATGAAAGATGGTGTTATGTTATGTGTAATTATTTCTTTTGGAATTGATTGCCTTTAATTTGATACACTACGGTAGAAATTAATTTGTACGTGGGTGATTAATTGATTGATGGGCGTGGCTCAGTTGCTATGGTTCCGATTGTGCACGGAATGTGTGTGGTTTGATTGGATCGGCTCATCCTGCTCTGTGATTGGTCCTTTCTCTATATCCACCAACCAACCAGATCACTTGAGTCACTAGGTTTACCTGCTCTCCCGCCTTACCGCGGTAAGACTTTCTCTTCATTCTCTACAACCAAAACCTGCCCCAGACCAGCCAGCTTCTTTCTTTCTTTCACTGCTTGTTATAGCCACCGACGCGTCTTTTGTTTCCTTTCACTGTAGAAGTCAGTTATGGCAGAGTTGGGCGTGCTAGATGACCCCATGGAGCTGGACCCTAGCCTGAGGCAAAGCAGAACTCCCGGCCTACCAACAGACCACACTCAAGGCTATGGAGCTAGGGATGTCATTAGGGCTCACATCCAAGCTGGAGGCGGTGTGCTAAACTCTTCTTTGAGACACGGGGGCATCCCTCTACTGGAGACTGATAAACAACATGTAGTACATGGTAAGTTTTCAAAAGCATTGAAGCAAAGTGTTTAATGTTAATATGTGGTGTGTATTAACTAATTAATGTTATTGTTATTATTATTATTTTAAAGCTACTGCAATTCAAGATGCCCTGCAAGAGGATGATCTAAATTGCGCAACTCCTCAATCTCTACGTTTTGATTTCCCGTCCGAAGAAGAGCTCCAGCAGCCTAAAACAAGACAGGTGGTAAAACGGCCACCTCCAGCAATATACAGGGACCAGGTTAGAGCCCAATCACTCTATGTAAGTAACAGCTGCTCTTAATTGAATATTTTTAGGATCGTTTTGTCCCCATTAATAACATCAGCAGGACCATGCGCAACTGTGTACCAAAGTCGGGAAAAGTACAATCTTGTCCTAATGCTCTAACGTGTTAAATCTTTTTCATTTCGTGTGCTGTAGGTTTCGAAAGATGCTAAAGAATGTATGCAAGAATGCGTCTCTGAATTCATAGGGTTCTTAACCAGCGAGTATCCTAAAATAATAATACATCACTATTATACTAGTATTGCTTGTGTGTACTTAACTACTCATTAACTCAGGGCTTCTGATCGGTGCATAGACGAGAAGAGAAAGACAATAACGGGCGATGACATCTTGTTTTCGCTGTCTACGCTAGGATTTGACTGTTATGTGGATACACTTCAAGTCTATCTGAAGAAATACAGAGAAGTAAGAGTCAGACACTTATAATGTTAATTTCGTATACAAGAGACTTTAAATTAAGATACTATAGACACGGTTAAAATTGTATTAAAGAATATGTACATGTACAGGGCCGTAGCCAGGAACTTAAAATAGGGGGTTCGGAAATTGCTGCGCGCGAAGCGCGCAGCGAAAATTTTGACGAAAATGGGCGTGGTTGGTAGGCGTGGTCTTAATTTACGCATCTCAGCCATGTGCTGACTCAGCTAAAATGGCTATCTGTGCTTCTCGCTGTTGCCAAAATGCTAATCCTGCTTTTGCAGTGCTGTTCTTCATGACAGGAGCTAATCTAAAACTTTTTTGCAGCTACAACAGGGGGTTCGTCCGAACCCCCCGAACCCCCACTGGCTACGGGCCTGATGTACACGTAGTGTCTCAACAGTATTTTCCTCCTTCCTTCCTTTTCCACTATCTATCACTGTTCCCCTCTCCCCCTCTCTCTCTCTCCAGCACTTACGTTCTGATAAAAATGACAAAGAGTATGCCCAAGGCTCACCTTCAGAATCATGACATGTACTTTCATAATAATACGAGTACATATAATGTGTTCATACTGGACAGTGTTGGGTTGCATTAATTAATTTATCCTTTTCATAGCTGAGATATTATTATACCATTGATTGTTGATGATTATTATTATTATTATTATTATATCTTATCATTTTCATTCAATATTTATTATTTTATAATGCATCAATGATGATTTTCTGTGCCTGCTGATTGCAGTGTTGCTGCTGTGGGTGAATTAAGTTTTTTCTGTACAAAACAAGAAGTGTCATCTTTCATGACTTCTCTGAGTGCCATTGTTGCATAGGTTGATGAAGGAAGAGAGAAAGATAGTTTAAGAGCTCTCTTTGCCCCACCTACATGTACATGAACATATAAATCATAATGTAGTCGAATTAAAGCAAAATGGTCATAATAACCACATAATTATAACAAGCTACAGTTCACGGTACCCCAATAGCAATCTTACTAGTTCCCAGTGAGAAGCTCTTGTCCTCTAAAATGTCCAAATCTGATTGGTGGAGTGGAACAGTGACATCATCGTAACAAAGTAGTTTCCTATTATTTTTATTTATTATTATTGTTGTTGTTGTTATAATAATTATTATTTAATTGGAATTGCTTTACCATTCAAGATTATCAGGTTTGGCCATTATATGACGATAGCTACCAGGTAAAGCAAAGTCCCTATACAAAAGAAGAGATTTCATTCACACTGTAGTCACAAGATAGTCATGTGATTAGCAGTTACTTGACTCTGTGCTTCAGTTTATCAACCGTTAGATTATCGTTAGCTAATATCCTGTGATACTGTTCACCAACTGAAAAGAAACAGTGATCAACATAATACAACTGAGCTATAAGCAGTGCTGTATACCATTGTTAGTAGGATACTGGACACTATAACCTGGTAGAGGCAGTACTACATCAAATATTGTATATTGATGACAATTCTCCTCTGTAATGGCAAGAACACCATTCTATAATAATAATAATAATAAACATTAATTTCAAGTCCATTCTGCCTACCACAGTCTCAGATTGGAGAGCCAGGTCTCCAGGAACTGGCACCAGTCCGTACTCACGGAACCGGAACGAGACCATTTGATTCCACACGTAACTCTGATAACTATGGACGTACATCAGTCTTGCGTTCCTAGGCAACTGATGGAATGGAAATACAACAGGTAAGGAGGCAGGTTATTTTGGAGGGGGCACAACTTTTGCAAAAACAACTAACACCAAATTGAGTACATAATTTTCTCTAAGCAACATAATTCCCAAAAATTAAACCACATCAAATGTCCCCGCTACATACAGCTGCAAGGAGCAATCACCAAATCTTAAAACTAACAAATGAAAGTGCTGCCAAAAGGTTAGTGGTTCCGTGTTTCTCCATTCCCCTGAGCAGCTGGTATTCAGTTGAGTTTCGTTTGTGAGGCGGAAACAGTTTGAGAGTTTCATTAATGTCACTGGTGGATCGATAGTACTCACGCACAACTTGGAAATCTTCAGACTCTGACGAAATATTAAAATACAACATTAATAATTATTTATTGCGTTAGACGTCACATGTTTTTTATAAAATGTGAAGAGGGGCAATGCAGGTGGAAATCCCAAAAGAGAATACAAAACGAAAGAATATAATCATCATAATAACATTTACAGTACAGTGGTTACCTCCTTCTCTTGGTTTCAGTATCAAATCTACTGCTTCTTTCCATTCCGAATGCAGCAATGCCCTGAAATACATGTACAATGAAACAGAATCCAATAGAACATAAAGATAAGAGTCCATTACTTTCCGATGGCATGAGTTGGTATAGTTGATGTCCCAAATCTCTGCATACCAAAGTAATTAATGAATCCTTTATCTTTAAGCGATAGGAGAAGACTGTTAACATGATGATGGCCGATCTCACCCTCTCTGTCTACAGGAACCTTAACATCTCTACAAAATTATAAAACCACTTAATAAACTAGTAATTAATTAACAAGTGGTTAATAAACCAGTAATTAATTAACAAATGGTTAATAAACCAGCAGTTATTAAACTAGTCTTGCCTCAATATGATGGTGAAATGATTTCCTTTAGTGTCTCCAAGTTTAAGAGGAGTCTTACAGTACCTGAGACAATGTGATAATTATACAGAATTCTCCATTATAGTTCCTTACTCTATATTACCAACTTTTATATTTGTATTTGCTCCATTGATTGATGCTAGTCTTGAAGGCAGAACTCTATCAGGAGAGAAAGAGAGAGAGAGGGGGGGGAAGGATCATAAATTAAATAATAATTCAAACCTGTATGCAGTGACCAGCTGTGAAGTTATAGCTCTCTTGTCTTTAGTCCCAGCATACTGGAACACAGAGCACTTCACCCTGGAGGCAATCAATAACACATCATGTCCAGTAATTAAAATACTTATTGAGTGAGTACCTCAACAGCTTAGAGAGTGTGGTGATAACCTGCATGCTATCCCTGTTCTCTTTATAAAGTACAAACTTGATGTAATCTCCTTTGTCCTTGGACCAGTGTGATCTAACTTCACCTACAGTACATACGCTTGTAATGGAGAGGACTGGTATTACACTGATATGTACATCAGGTATCATTATTATGTGCTTTGAGTTTTAGTTGGAATGACCCCAAACTTTCTACATGGAATACATGTAAGTACATCAACATGCATCATGAAATGTAATAAAAATTTGGGGTGATTTCGGAGCCAATTTTTGGAAAAAAACCATGGGCTATAGCCTTGGGTATTTTTCAAAAATTGGCCTGTTTTTTAAAATGGCCATAACTCGAAAAATTTTTTTCGGAATGAGCTCAAACTTTCTACACAGCATAAGGACATCAATATGTATCAGAAAATGTAATAAAAATTTGGGGTGATTTCGGGGCCAATTTTTGGAAAAAACCATGGGCTATAGCCTTGGGTATTTTTCAAAAATTGGCCTGTTTCTCTTTTAAAATGGCCATAACTCGAAAAATTCTTTTCGGAATGAGCTCAAACTTTCTACACAGCATAAGGACATCAATATGTATCAAAAAATGTAATAAAAATTTGGGGTGATTTCGGAGCCATTTTTTGAAAAAAACCATGGGCTATAGCCTTGGGTATTTTTCAAAATTTGGACTGTTTTTAAAAAATGGTCATAACTCGAAAAATTTTTGTCAGAATACTCAAACTTTCTACACAGCATAAGGACATCAATATGTATCAAAAAATGTAATAAAAATTTGGGGTGATTTCGGAGCCAAATTTTGAAAAAAACCATGGGCTATAGCCTTGGGTATTTTTCAAAATTTGGCCAATTTTTAAAAAATGGCCGTAACTTGGAAAATTTTTGTCGGAATGAGCTCAAACTTTCTACACAACATAAGGACATCAATATGTATCAGAAAGTGTAATAAAAATTTGGGGTGATTTCGGAGCCAAATTTTGAAAAAAACCATGGGCTATAGCCTTGGGTAATTTTCAAAATTTGGCCAATTTTTAAAAAATGGCCGCAACTTGGAAAATTCTTTTCGGAATCAGTTCAAACTTTCTACACAGCATAAGAACATCAATATGTATCAAAAAATGTAATAAAAATTTGGGGTGATTTCGGAGCCATTGTTTAAAAAAAACCATGGGCTACCTGACTTGCTTCCACGTAGAAAGACCCGTATAGTTGTCTTTTCGATTGTCCTTGTGTCAAGATTAGGAAATGACTTCTTAATTGATTTGTGTATCAACGTTCGAGATTCTTTACAATCCTTTACCTACAAAATAATTATTAATTTATTATGCAAAAAAACTATATATATATGGGGTAGCCATCAAAAATTTGAAGGAAAGAGCCAAAAAATTTGTTGGTAGCAAGCAAAAATTTAAAATAAAATAAAGCATGATATTTTTTGATGAGTACTTGAAATTCCACTTCTTTTGCTTTGTCATCTGATTCCGAAAGATCTCTACACTTTTCAACAACATCAGCTGGCACTAAAACACTTAGACTCCGCCCTTCATCATCCTGTTACTAAAAATAGACACAGAACCATATCAAAAGAGAATGAGACCTGATTGGGTTCTTCGGGTAATTCAAAACTTGTGAGGTGAACGGTTTCACCTGCCAATGATATTTCGTTAACAATGAAGTCAGAATACCTGTGAAATTAATAATAATTATAAAGAGATAATCTTGATAATAATTATCATATAATATAATATACCTTTGTTTAAGAATTGCAAATATCTGTGCTCCATTTTTATTGACATATTCAGTAATCCCAACATCTCTTTCTGTTAGAAACCCTCCTCCGTTTTCGGCCGTTTTAATTTTCTTTGCAGGTGGGGGTGATTCTGAAGCATTGCCTTCAGTCTCCTCTGTCAAGTCCGCCATTTTATCAGTAATAAAAAGGTGCAGCCACTCCCACATTTTGTTTTATTTTTTGTACATAACAGACCTAATCTATGCCTGCTTTTGTGCAAAGAAACAAGCAAACAGCAATTGAAAAAGGAGCTATAGAACCTAGACACCTACATTCTCTGTACAGTTTAAGGCTTTAGATCTAAGCATTTTCATCAAGATAATTTTTCATTTATTGTCATGCAGATCTGCAGTTAGTAGAGCCACGCCCCAGCCCACCTGCTCTGAGCTTTCCTGTCACAAGGTAGTCACTTGTATTGTCAGCAAGTGATTCACTTGTTTCCTCTAGTCTACCTATATAACACGACGGCTCGTCAGTCTCCCGACAAAGCAACTTCTCCTTCAGATTATACAGAGACTTACTTTCTTCCTCCTAGCAAAAGGCGGGCAGGAGAAGATACAGAAGATTCATTAGACGAGGAGGAGGTTGACATCATGGCTGCTAAAGGAGCAGAACACTGGAAGAAAGTGGTCAAGGAGCAGATACAAAAGTCCCACGTACTAGTCTACAGCAAGACCACTTGTCCTTTCTGCAAACGTGTAAATATCCATAAATACTAATAGAACTATCACTCCTGCCATAATCTTATGTGTATCTTGGCAGTACACAATGTATGTTTAGTCTGTTGTTGCAGCTACCAAGAAATGACTGAATACAGTCTTGGATACCAGCAATTATACAGAATTAGCACAATTACTGATAATGACTATTTCCTTTTCTTGATGCAGGTGAAAAAGCTCTTCGATGTACAGCAAGTTGCCTCCCAAGTGATTGAATTGGATGAAGTTGAGAATGGAGACGAGATTAAGAAAGCTTTGGAAGACATTTCAAAGCAGAAGACGGTTCCAAACATCTTCCTCAACGGAGCTCACATTGGAGGCTGTGACAATGTACTGGCTACTTTTACTAAAGGACTCCTCTCCGATATGCTACTGATGGGTACCCAGGAGAGAGATCAGTTTACAAAAGGTCACAGTTATGATTACGATCTTATCGTGATTGGAGGAGGTTCTGGAGGACTTGCATGTGCCAAGGTACAAGAGAGGGAGAGGGGGAGAGAGAGAGGGGGGGAGAGAGAGAGGGGGATGGAGAGAGAGAAGGAGAGAGAGAGGGAGAGAGAGGGTGGAGGGAGAGAGAGGAAGAGAGGGAGGGGGAGAGAGAGGAGGAAAGGAAAAGAGAGAAAGGAAGAGGAGAGGGTTTAGATAAAGCATTCAAGATAAGACTAGATAAAAAATAATTTGTATTTTATTTAATTGGTTTCTCTAGGAGGCAGCAAGTTTGGGCGCTCAAGTTTGTTGTCTTGATTTCGTGAAACCCTCTCCCCTGGGTACCCAATGGGGCCTTGGGGGAACCTGCGTCAACGTGGGGTGCATACCAAAGAAGCTAATGCACCAGGCAGCCCTCCTGGGTAATAATAATAATAATAATAATAATAATATATTCAAATAATATTGTAGGTGATTATATGAATGATGCTCCTTTTTTTGGTTGGAACGTTGATACTAAAACAGGTAATGAAATGTGCTGACAAGTATACACACACAAACACAACAAACACTTTAAATTAATATTAGTAAACAAATATAATTGCTTATACTATAAATCATGCTCAATGACTCAACTTCCTTTTATACATGTAAAACATGCTACTAATAGTATCATACTACTGATAGTATCATACTACTGATAGTTTAATATTCACATTGTGAAGAAAAGGGTATACATGTACATGTATTGTGGTGTAGGTGAAAAGTCTGAGGCCCATGACTGGAAGAAAATGGTATCAAACATTCAAAGTCACATCAGCTCACTCAACTGGAGCTACAGGACTGATCTGAGATCAGCTGGGATCAAATATATCAACGGATTAGCTGAGTTCATTGACCCACATGCTATAAAGGTATTGTACTTTGAATTAAAAATTAAACTGTATCATATTCTGTAATTGTAGTACAAAGCAAAGAATGGGACAGAGTCCATTATTAGTGGGGCCAGGATCGTCGTGGCTGTTGGTAAATATAATTTAAAGAAATTTTTTCATTTTTCTTAATCGTTCCTCTTCTTCCTCTCTCCTTTTTATTTTATTTCTCTCCAGGTGGTAGGCCACGTTACCTTGATATCCCAGGTGCAAAGGAGTACGCCATTACAAGCGATGATATATTCTCGTTACAAGAGCCACCTGGTAGGACCCTAGTCATTGGTGCCTCATACGTGGCACTGGAATGTGCCGGGTTTCTGTCAAAAATGGGTTTTATGACATTCTGTATGGTACGGTCTATTCTATTGAGGGGTTTTGATCAGGTAAAAACCTTACACGAAATACAACATGTACATGTATACGTGATAATGTTGATGTATTTTGAATTGTACTTTCATTTTTAGGATGCTTGATGTGATTATGATTTTCTTGTTTTTGTTTTTTTTATTGCAGCAAATGGCTAATTATATCGGAGACAACATGATAAAGAAGAGGATCAATTTCCTTCATTCTTGCGTCCCTACTAAAGTACATGCTCATTTCCCACGTCATTAAAAACCTCTTCCTCTTCTTGTAGATCCGGTTAGTGAAAGATTCTCCAAGAGAGTATGCAGTGGAATACAGCAATACTGCTTCCAAGAAGACTGGAGAAATAACAGTCAACACGGTACGTGCACATGTGACATATGTATACAGTATAGTCTCTCTTAATGGACACTCTCTATAGCGTACACCTCCATTTAATGGACAGCACCTAGTGTACCAATTACATTCCTTACTGTATAAAATAACCTCCACATAAAGGACACCTCTGTATAATAGACTTACCCCAAAGTGTCCATTATATAGAGGCTACCTAGTCTCAGTATTGAAGATGATTAGGTGCACTTTGCTAGTAGTAGTTTATGTTTGTAGGTATTAATAGCAACTGGGAGAGAACCTGATACTAAACTACTGGGACTAGATAAAGCTGGAGTGGAAATGACAAAGTAAGGAAGAGAGAGAGGAAGAAGAGCAATAGTACATGTTGCTCTCACAATAGCTATTAGCTACACTCTTTCTTTCTCTTGCTAAAGGAGTGGTCATATACCCACTGTCTATGAACAGACGAACGTGCCTCATATTTATGCAATTGGAGATGTACAAAAGGGGAAAATGGAGCTGACTCCTCTTGCCATACAGGCCGGCAAACTCTTATCAAGGAGGCTATTTGGAGGGTCAAAAGATTACTGTAATTATCTTGATGTGCCCACGACTGTGTTCACTCCAATGGAGTATGGGACTATTGGGCTTTCTGAGGAAGATGCTGAAGAAATATTTGGAAAAGAGAGAATTGAAGTGAGAAAGAGAGAGAGGGAGAGGGAGGGAGAGAGAGAGAGAGAGGGAGGGAAAGGCAAAGCATGGAGCAGGTGTCAATTTCCCTGCTAACACGACGATTGAATCACTAAAGTTGAATCACATCAACTTTCTCTTTATCACAATCTCTTTGGTTGCTTTTATCTATAAATGCTGCAAAATATAATGAAATATCAACAGGATAATAATAATAATAATAATAATAATAATAATAATAATAATAATAATAATAATAATGTGTTTGTGTTTCCAGGTGTATCATACGAGTTTCAAGCCGCTAGAGTACACAGTACCTCAGAGACAAGACGATGATGGATACATGAAACTTGTTGTTGACAAGGAGAACGGGGTATGAGAGAGAATGAGAATGGGATAATTTTGAAGGAATAGGAATGAGATATTTAGGCCTGGTTACACGACTACGTTTTAAAATAGAACACAAGAAAATGCATATCAAACCTGAACAGAAGAAAACCCAATACCAAAACTGATGCTTCTATCAGCTTCTATAAACAAATGATGAATTCTAGTGAAAACGCAGCTGCTGGATTAGTATAAACACCTGAAAAAAGTAATAGCAGAAACGATCAGATTAGGCTAGCCAGTAGTCGTGTAAACGAGGCCTAAGAAAGATTATTTATATCAACAATTATTTTAAAATTATTAATTCTAGGAGAGAGTCCTTGGGCTACATGTTGCAAGCCCCAATGCAGGTGAGATTACCCAAGGATATGCTGTAGCTATGAGACTTGGAGCTAAGAAGAAGGACTTTGACAGCACCATAGGGATACACCCCACCTGCTCCGAGACCTTCACCACTCTACGGGTAACCAAGAGCTCTGGTGAAGACTCTTCCGCTGGAAACTGCTGAGGTTAAGCACCCTCTGACCGTCAACACAATGAGGTACTCTTCGCTTCATTGTGATTGGTCAGTGGGTGCTTCCTTCATTGGTATAATGACTTTACAGTACCGTCTGGTTGCGTGGGCGGTCTCATGTGACTGTCACATGATGGGGTTTCCCTTACTCACTGTTTGTGACGGGGAGCTCTTGATTTTCTGCAACCTGGTACTACTTGCATGCATAATAAGTCGTCAGTAACTCAATAGCAATAAAATATAATAATTATTAAGTTTGTTGTGATTTTATTATTAATGATAATGATTATTTATTATTAATTTTATTGTTTAATAATTAGTAAAACTTAATTTTTGTTATAATTATTGTTGTAAATAATAAAATAATAGTGAAAACCTAAACCCACTTGATAATTTCCATCAATTGCTTGAATTCACTTTACAAAAATAAATTAGATAAATGTAGCAATTCTCCTGTGGAGTATGTACATGTATTTCATTTGACACTGATATTCTTGTGTTTTAAAAATTTCTTAATATTGAAAGTGAAGGATAATGTGTATTACTGAATGAGACATGGTTTGTCAAGACAGAGAGAGAAAGAGAAAAGACAATTTTTATACACATTTAGTAATTAATTACATTCACAATCAATATAACAAATAATAATAATAATAATAATAATAATAATAATAATAATCAATTAAGTAATAACAGTACATGTACATGTACGTGATTTTAACATTTTAAATAAATAATGGAAAGGAAGAGAGAGAGAGAGAGGGAGGTCTACAATAATTACATATTGCATTTTGTTGTGTGATTATAACATACAAAAGAGAGAGGGGGAGAAAGTACATACATGTATGTATTATTATCCTCCTTTGTTAGTCTGATACAAAGATCTAATTCCCCATATTACCAAACCAGTTTGGTTTGTGTCATCTCTTCTGAGTCACTGAAGTCCCAGTAAGGTCCTGATCTCCGGTACCTTCCAAACGCGTTGGACTCGTCATACCAGCTGGTACAACCACAGGGTTTAGTGTTCCCTCTTGCTGGAGCTGCTGGGGCTGCTGGTACGTTTGAACTTCTTGTTGTGCTTGTTGCGACTTAGGATAAGTTTGTTGCATGGGGAGGTGGGAGGAGAGAGGAGGGGGAGGGTGAGTTATGTGAGGAGTGATTGAGTGATGTAAACCTTGCATCATCGCCTGGTTTGTGGAAGAGAAGTGAGCCGGGGGTACATGAGGATGCATGTATTGCGGCCAATCGCTTGGAGGGAGCCACATTCCGCCTGGGGCCATCAAGTGTAGCCCTTCTTGAGGCATTATATGAGAATGGGGACCAATTGGAGCCGTGGGATAATAAGGAGTCCCTCTTCCTGCTTCAATGTGTCTTGACGCTTCACCAGCAGCTGCTGCTGCTGCAAGGTTAGAAGTGGAGCTGTTGTTTTGCTGGGAAAGGAGGGACCCGTTGTCCCTCGTGTCATGAGGGGGAGGGTGGAGTGGTGGGCCTCCCTGGTAATAATGAAATGGATGATACCCTGGTCTCTGACCAGTGCTAGAACCAATACTGTAATAGTTCAAGTGTTGATGGAGCTGCTGCTGCTGCTGCTGATAATGCAACTGTTGCTGGAGGCTTTGTTGTTGTTGTTGCTGTTGTTGTTGTTGCTGTTGTTGTTGCTGTTGTTCTCTCTCGTCTTTTGGTCCAAGGGAGGCGGAGCTAAGCATCGCTGAAGAGGTGGATGTGACGTGGTGGGTTGGGTATGTAACAGCTGAGGTTTTGGGCATCACATTTGTATACTCTGCATGAAATAGAAACAATAAACTTGCACCATACAAGAGCACGTACCGTGAGTGATGGCACTTCCTCTCCTCAGATGTGCCTGGTACCTTTCCTTATCTTTCTTTAATCTTTTCTCCTCCTCTTCTATCCGGGTTATCCTGACAATGGCAAATACATGTAAGACTTAAAATTAACCAAAATTGAAAAAGGAGAGAATTCTCAAGTTTTATTACATTTCCTGACACTAGGATGCATATGCATATGTACATTGGTACATTACAAAATTTAAGTTTTAAGTTTATTCATTGAATTACTTACTCTCTTAGTAACTGCTGACGCTCTCCATCCGTTTCATCATCAGATTGTGGCTAAAGAAAAAAACAACAACAATAATAATAATAATACTAATAACAATACTAATAATAATAATACTAACAAACCATCATTATACATGCACAAATTGAAATACATAATGCACACATCTAGTGATTATTAGTGTGTACTGTACCTACCAATGTCTCATTGGGGCTAGCATAACTAGCAGAAGATTGAGCTACACCTCCTGATACACTAGCCAGTGAGTATACCTGCTGACCCAATGAAGAAGATGACACAGATGTAACTGGAGGACGCATGTGGGCTGGGTTAACAGCTGAATGTCCATTAGAACCAGGAGCAGGAGCATATCCATTAGTAGCAGTAGGACTCTGTCCATTAGAAGGAGTGTGTCCATTAGCTGTGGACCCACTGGAAGGTGGTTGGTCAGGGTTGTTGATACTGATCTGCTGGAGGAGGGCAGCTATTGATGGCTCTTCAAACAAGAGTTTCATGTAATGCATGAACTTCATGAAACCATCAAACACAAGTGGGTTCTCAAGGAGGGTCCCATGTGTGGGCGGGATACGAGAGAAAGGGCTCAGGAGTAAAGGCTGCGGAGGGTCTACTGGTTGAACGGAATACGGAGGGTACATCGGTGGATTGGTGCTTGTGGGTGGGTGGGGCTTTGAACTAGACTCCACCTCTTTTACCCGAGCGTAGGTCAGAGTGTCCTCGTCGCTGAAAGTGGGCGGAGTTGATAACTCAACGCTAGTAGACTCATCGTCCTTAATGATAGTACTGGACTCGGTGGGCGTGACTTCGTTCTTAGGCTCAGCCTTATCGTCTGGAATGAGGTTTTCACAAGAACTCTCCGTGGAGAGGGTCTCTGGATCAATGACGTCTTCAATCTCAAACTTCTTATTAGGGGCCTCAACTGTAGTGATAGTGCCAGTGCCGGAAGGCTGGAGGTTGGAGTACGATGAAGATGCAGAAGAAATGGCCGACGAGTTGCCCGTGGCAACAGAAGAGGGCGTGTCTCCCAAATTTCCCTTGTCACCAGTGCCCAGTGTGCAGGTGGGCAGGACACTGGTTGAATGGAACACGCTCGTTGGGTCTTGAGTGGATTTATTGTCTGAGGAGGAGGAGGAGGAGGAGGGAGGGGGAAGAATGCAAGTGTCTTCGCTATGAACTGGACTCATAACAGTCATCTAAAAGTATTAATAATAATAATAATAATAATAATAATAATAATAATAATAATAATAATAATAATAGTAATCATGAGCTTACAGATTCTGCTGATCCCTGGCTAGTAATTGATGGTTTCTCATTGGGTCTCTCAACAAACACGTCGGACACTTGAAACTTCCTCCGAGAGTGAGGGGAAGCCTCCGATAAAGCCAGACCATCTCTCTTGACTCCGCCCAACTGTCCACTTCCATCGTAAGGGGAGTCGGAGCGAGCCCCTCCCTTCTGATAAGACTCCGAGTGTTTTGATTGGTCGCTGTCTTGTTTGACAATGCTAGAATAAGAGACTGAGGTTGAGCGAAGAGGTCCTCCTGGGTTCTTCTTAGTGTCGCTGCTAGTAGAGTCCACAGTGCTCTTACTGCGAACTGTGTCTACAACCTTTTGAAACTGAGAAATAAAGTCGGTTCCTTCAAGCTGGCTTAGGTGACCTGTTTTAACCTGGAGAGAGAAAGAGAGAAACATGAATCATCCAATGGTAGAGAGAGACACAAATGCACATAAACAGGTACAGTAAACAGTAACCACAAACTCACCAGATTATTAAATATCTCGTTTGGCTTGTCGTAGTCAAGGGAAAACTTAAAATTAATGACCTGACCAGCACTGGTCTGGAGTGAGCAGCTGATCACATTATCCTTGACCTTCTCATTAAATTTTAACTTAATACGCTTGCTGTCCTTAGTCCGGGATCCTTTCTTACTCCTGAATGACCCCCCACTACCACCAGGACCAGAGGAGCCATTAGACTGTGTGGTATCAGCCTCAACTGAAGGAGGAGTAGAGGAGGAGGAGGAGAGAGCGAGAGCAGAAGAAGATTGAGAATGATAACCACTGCTAATACTGCTGCTTGAGGTCGTCTGAGACTGAGCACTACCTGAACTGGACTGAGCAGCTATTGATTGTGACACAGCCGTACCACTCAAGCTGGTTTGGGAATGAGCTATCAAAGTTTGAGTCTCAGACTGAGTCTGGGACCCGGAATAGAAACTAGCCGATCGGGCCAGGTCCTTACCAGTGGGCGTGGCATCGCTAACGCTATTTACATTAATACTTTGAGTACTATTAGTGGCTGAGCCTGAGGAAAGATCTGATTGGTGAACATCTTCCGAGTATGTTCTATTAACAATATCTCCTTGTCCTTTAGCGCTAAGTGATTGATGCTCCTCCCTTTCTTCTTCTCCGCCCTTCCCTTTCGATAAATTGGGCGAGGTTTTCGAACTGGAAGGGAGACTTTTAGATGAAACAGGAGCGGAGGTGAGCTCACTGTGTTTCTTAGAAACAAACTGTTCGTCCTCAACACTCTCCTTCTCTGAGTCTTCCGAGTTCTCAGAGGGTGTGGTCATTGCCGTTCCTCCCGTTATCTTGTGAGGGACGTTAGGGGAGTTGCTAGCGGAAGGTCCCTCACTCCCCACTCCTCCCCCAGCCCCACCCACTCCGGTATTATTAACTTGAGCTGAAGGTCCTGTCCGGTCTGTAGTGTGCTTCGGTCCTGAAGGCTCAGACGACATTTCATCACTTGCACTTGAAAGCTGACGTTGGAAATTTGCCTAAATATAGGAAAAGAAAGTAAATATACATTGTACATTTATAGATGTACTGTACCATTAAAACTCAAGTTTATTGCTACTATTAATAGCAAATATTGTTACTATACTTAGTACTGTATGATGACTCACTCAACATTACTAAAATTAGCCACTCACCCTGTTTGCTGAGAGTTCAATCTCCTGTGGTGTTGGAGTAGTCTCGTTGGACAGAAGCTGATGTGAAAGACCCTCTCCAGTTTCCTTACCAGCAGCACCGTTACCAGGAACAGGTGGGTTGCCATGAGGGGCAGTAGCGCCAGCAGTAGCAGCAGGTTTCTGTTGTCTCTTTTGTTTAGCTGGATCAGTCAATGGATCAGTAAGCTCCCTCACTGAGCGTATAGCATTCTTCTTATCTTCCTCTCTCAATATTCCTGATTTAACCTACAGTGTCATACATACAAACGTACATGTACATGTGGCATTCAGACAGTTATGAATAATTATAATGATAATAATACATGTACATATGTACTTGTACAGTACATGTACAAATCTTCTTTCTCCCTTTCTCCTCTCTCTCTCTCTATCTCTCTCACCATATCATTAACAATGTCTTCTGGTATGTCAGTTTGAAGGTTGTAAGCAAACTCAATGCTCTCCTGCTCGTTCTTCTTGTTTTCTTTGCTAGTCCGAGGGACCACCAGCCGTACCATCACGCTATCGGCCGGAGTGGGCTCCGTCATCACTTCAACCTTCACATCACCTTCGGCAAAGAACTCGTGGTTGAGTAGCATCTCTACAGTATACCTGAGACAAGAGGGAAAAGATAAAACATGTACGTGTATTAAGAAATAACAATTTATAAAAACTTACTACAATGTGACACAATTTGTACTACTAGTGCATAGCAGAGATGATTCTTAAAATCTTATTAGTGATTATGGAATTTGTTTTTGAAATATGCAATTATATAATAATATCCCAAACATTTTGTCATATTTTGCCATATATAGTCCTAGTGGAATAGCAGCTGTAACTTGAACCAGCCATTTTTGCATAATAGTAATGATATTACTTACACCAATGTAACACTCTATTAAGCCTCCTTTTGACGTACATGTACATGTACGTCCTAAATTATCATCTCCCTCCCTCCCTCCCTCCCTCTCTCCCTCCCTCTCTCTCTCCATCATACCTAGCAGATTTGCTCAGTTTGGTACAGGCTACAATGATTTCTTTAAGCATTGGGTCATTGACTTTATTGAGTGAGTTAGGCATAACTCCCTACAGTGAGAGAAAGAGTTCATGAAAAAATGGAGCAACAATGTACACATACATGTACATGTACATGTAGGTTACTGTGAACAACATTCCCAGTGTATGTTATTTTAAGAACAATAACTTTACAAAATGGCACAGTATAACAGTACTGGTGAATTGGGTAAAACCTCTTCACTAATCATAATCACATTTGGCAGGACACGTTACATGTTCCTTGCTTACAGAAGTGACTTTCTTGTAAATCTGTGCTGGGTTACTGCACTCTTGGTAAGGATATTCCAGCGTGCACATCTCCAGGAGGCACATACCAAAGGCATAAACATCAACTGATTCATCATAAACCTCATCATACATCTCTGGGGCCATAAACTCAGGAGTACCTGTCAGAATAGAAGGAAACAGGAACATTAATATTGTACACACATACACATGTCTCTCTCTCTCTCTCTCCCCCCCCCTCTCTCTCTCTCTCCCTCTCTCTTCACCTATAACAGTCTTCACATCAGATCTCTTCAGTGTGGCTAGTCCGAGGTCACCAATCTTGACCAGTCCAGTGGTACCATTGATAAACACATTGTCACACTTTAGATCACGATGGATGATAGGAGGGGTTCGAGTGTGGAGGAATGAGAGACCGCGAAGGATCTGACGACCCCAACTCCTAATAACCCTCGGCTTGATAGACTTGAAACGCCTCATGTAACTATAAAAGAAAAACAAGCACATATACAGTATAGTCTCTCTTAATGGACACTCTCTATAGCGTACACCTCCATTTAACGGACAGCACCTAGTGTACCAATTACATTCCTTACTGTATAAAATAACCTCCACATAAAGGACACCTCTGTATAACAGAGACACTTTCCTGTACCCATTAGTGTCCATTACATAATGTACACGTGTACATGTACATTGGTGTAGATGCATTCAGTACATGACTACGTGTACATGTACATTGTATATGTACATGTACATGTACATGTACATTGTATATGTACATTGTAGCAATGCTGTAGAGAAGGTAGGAGTCTCTAGTGCTATAGAGGCAGTTAGGATAAACATGTGCTGACAGCATTAACAGCTGATGACCACAATATGGAATCATGCTCCATGTGGTACATAAGTATGCTAAGAATGGTGTACTATGACAACCAGAGAATGACCAGTAGGACAGGAAAGGACATACAGGAGAGACAGTATGACTATAACAGGACAACACATTTGAACAAGAGAAAAGAGGATGGATAGACTATGGATTATGAGTACATGTACATGTACAGGCTTATTACTCTTAAATAAAAGCCCAGGTTTCTTTCTATTTCCTATTTAAAATTTGTCAACTGGCTTCTATGGCTTACATTAATTTCTTAATATACTTTTAAGAATTAACACCTTAAGAAAGTGTCGATATCATAGTAGTAGTGGGTACAGCTACTGTTATTATTACTATTGGGAAGTATTGGCAATACAGGCCGTGTACATGTACTTTACATGGCTTCTGTTATCAATAGGAGCGGGGACATTGAGAGATAACACAGCTGTTTATGATTATGACACAAGAAAAGGATGAATATTGATTAGGGATAAAGGAAATGATGCTTTTAGACTTTTAGACAGAGGGAGAGAGTAACAAATCATTCTACATGTGTACATACATATGCGTGACTGGGAGAGAAGAATGTAACTGATATCCCATTTAATGTACATGTATGTATATACATTTATAACATTCTTTAAACCAAAAGTAAATTTAAACTGATAAAACAAATTAATCGTTAGAAAGACACACTCAACATTCAACGCAGGCATAATGTACATGCACTGTAGCTACAGATGGACAGAGTCTCAAGTTACTCATAACACAAAAACAAGTCAGCCACTGGGAGCTAGTACCACCGGCTAATAGCAACCAGTAGTGGAGTAATGGTTGTGTAGACGATATAAGGACGAGACTTAGACAACACAATGAGTAGGAGAAAGAAAAAAAGCGAGAGAGAGAGAAAGAGCAAAAGAGAGACAAAAGTGAGGGGAGGGAAGAATGTGCTGACCTTTTTAAAGTTCCGGACGTCATGAGTTCTGTGATTAGTACAAGGACCCTCTTCTTGTCTGACTGACGTACAAACTCCCAGGAATCAAAAAGACGCAGTATGTAAGGATGGTTGAGAGTCTTTAAAATGGCTACCTCTTCCTTGAACCGTGATTGCTCCTCTTTATTAAACTTGTGCTCCTAAAGAGAGAGAGAGAGAGAGAGAGAGAGGATCTGACACGTATTCATTACAACTTAATGACACTCTCACTTGTTCATAATACTATTCACAGAATACATACCCTCCATCACATTACTGCTACTGATACCATTAATGGAAATACCATTACACATCAACTCTCAGTAGACCAGAGCTGAATAATAATGAATTCTATTAACTAATGAATATCATTACATGATGCACTTGGGCCTGTTCTGATAAATGTTCATCAATGTTCTATTATTTAATTTACACCATCCCCCTTTGAACCTTTCTCCTATTAAAACTTTCCCTTTCCATCCTTCTAGCATGTACATGTACATCTATTCTTCTCTCCCTCCTCTCTCTCTCTCTCTCTCTCTCTCTCTCTCTCTCTCTCTCTCTCTCTCTCTCACCAGTAGTTCACACCACGCCACAGCTACACCAGTTTCAGTATCCAGTCCTTTATAGACAGTCTTAAAAGATCCTCTTCCAATCTCTTGCTCGTATTTCACGAAACGGCCGGTAGGAGACGTGTTGACAATGTGTTCCTCTACCTCCAAGGTCTCCAAAACCTTCTTCTTTATTCCGTCTTGAGAGTCCTGAATGGGCGGGGTAACTCCTCCCCCAACAGGCCCTCCATC